ATTGCTGTTATTTATAACTTCCAACATATGCTGTATTTGCAGTTCTTTTTTTTTAAACCTAAAGGAATTCTGAAATTTCGTACAAATGTTTGTTTAGTTGTACTATAATTGTACATTGTTTTCAGCAGAACCAAGAAAATATCTCCCTCCACTTCTCTTAAAATTGAGTGAGAGACCACCAGAGCATCTGCAGTACCTTGGAGTGTCATTTGGGCTCACAGCAACTCTCCTTAAATTCTGGAAAAGAGCAGAGTTTGTACCAGTTTATTTGAGGTAATGATCTGTGGCTAAGGTGAGGTTATTTCAGTTTTGACATTTAAAATAGATAACAACTATACTAATTTCTCACCATGAAATTTCAATGTGTACATTATATCTGGTCCATCCTCTGTGACCTGTGCCTGTATTGCCATACTTCCGAGGGTAGTATAATCAATGACATGTTCTTTATATGTGACAAGCAGACAACAAATGACTTGAGAGGTAAACATTCATGTATCATGCTGCACCCTTTGGACAACTCATATAGTGATGGAGATAATGAAACAGACCAAGCCAAAAACGTTTCATGGCTTGCAGAATATTGGGCTGACTTAGGTTTTCAGTTCCGCAGCTTTATACCAGTCCTCGCACTTAGTGTGCTTCAAAACAGGGCCTGCAAACAAGAGCAAGCAAGTTTGCGCAAAATTCTTTGAATATTTGATACTTATTCATGTGTTCAGAAATTTCCCAGTTGTAATGGAACCCAATGTTTCATCATTGCAGTCACAGAAATATGTAACTGGGTCTTATCCTGAGCCATTAACTCCAATTCTCACTTTTTCTATATGAAATATTATCTTCCCCATGTCCTATACAGGTGAAGTTCATGTTGGTATTTTCCTGAGTGTGATAATTGCTGAAAAGATTATTTTGTATTAAAACCTTCACAGTAAAAGATAAGACATATGGTTTCTGATTTGATGAAATGTCTCCCTAATATATGGTAACATCATTTCTGTGAATCACATGGTCTGTATTATATAGATCTTACTGGTAAGCATTCTAATTGTGCAGTGCTAAGCAAGATGGAGCTTGATGTATACTCGACCAAGTATGATGTGAAGCGGCTGGATCTAGTAATCAAGTAGATTACCACTTGGTCATGGACTTGATTCCTACCTTGGCTCGTTTGTACTTCCTCAATCATATGGTTCAGAGCCCGTTATAAGGAAAAAGTTCACTAAACATATCTTTTCACTTCAGTGAAGAGCTTTACTTTAATGGATAGTCCTAAAGTGAAAATATTTATATCAGTTTAGTTGTGTGTACGTGTATAATACAAAATAAACATCATTAGGTTTTTTGGTAAAAATTTAAAGCATGAAGATGATTGAACACAGTGAAATCTCTGAATAAATTTTACAGTAATATTTATCTGAATGTCTGCACAATTTACTCTGTTTAAAAATTCCTGATACCAATTGCATCACAAAGCAAATTCATACATAATCTTATTCCAACATTTTAGGCAATTGTTCTTGGCCTAGGCCTGCAATACAAAACTGTGTATAATTCTGCATCAGAGTTGGAGCTACCAACATTACAACTCTTGGGCCTCTTCAACTGAACAATTCGTCAACGTGTTCAGTATCTAAGAGGCATTCTGGAACACTCCATAGAACTGGGTCTAGTCCGATCAAGAACTGATGTCACATTGAACCCCATTGCCGAGAGCATGCATGATGAGTTAGAGAAGGCAAAAAAAGGTAATTGGTAGCATATTAGCCCCTCGATATGTACTTTGGGTAATATTATGTTCCGCATGGGTGGGGAGTAATATGTGCCGGAATTCTGTATTGCAGGAACTGAAGCTCAAACAACAACAGGAACTGAAAAAACTCAAGTCAATATGCAATTAAAGGTTCAGAAGAAGAATGGTTACAAGCACTGGGTTCATCAGGAAAGAAGCAGAAAAATATTATTTCTGTCAACAACAAAAAATCTACATTATTGATTTACCTCCTGTGATCTCGTATGCAAGATTAGTCGATTATTATTTTTACATAGTTCCCTTGAAATATAAGTAGGTGTTTCACTTTACCTTTTATGGTTTTTAGTTACATAAACAACATATGTTCATTAAGTAACATGGAATACTTACATTGTAAGAAAATAATGGTTTTGAGTTTTCAGTGGTGAGAAGCGGCCAACTAACGAAGAACTGTTTGAGAAACCTTCCAAAAAGAAAAGGCACAAGAAGAAACCTGATCATTAATGTTTATCTAGTCACATCTTGATTTTCACAAATGAATAAGTAAAGTGAATACAAGTCACATGTGTATATAAGCTGGACTTGATTTTAAGAAGTAAATAAAATTAATGTCTCATTTATAAGTAGCATCAAAGGTCTTAAGTTATTTTTTTCCCTGAGTGCAAGTTGCACCACATGACACCACAACTCCTGTTAGAAGTGTAACTCAAAATGGAAGATATGGGGAAGAAGTGAGAGAACATCAAAGAGGTTTTCCACTCACTTGTTACAGGAATCCAATTTTATCTTAGATTCACACATTACTCTTACACTAGAAACTTTATTACTAGTCGAGAATTTTATATTAAACAGTGTGTAGACCTGCCTGTTCTTTATTAATCTGTTTGTGCAGCTGAGCTATGATTAAGACATCAAGAGAGGAAAAAAGAGAATGATAAATGCGTGAGATATCAGGTTCTCATGGTAGTCAGTATGAAGATGGCTGTCTTCTAAGATGTTGCGCCGTATAGTTTGGTAGAAGTTTGCCGACGCCTCCATCATCACCCTGATAATGAAAGAAGTTAGCACCTCTGAAATGTCGGTAAACTTCCACAGACTACACAGTGCACCATCTCAAAAGACAACCCATCTTCAAGGTTAAATGGACACGAAAAATACACAAGTTCTTGTAAGATAGTTTTCCCAAGACAAGAAATTTTCACAGCAGACATTGATTAGCCTCTCCACTGGGCAGTGGAAGAAGACAGCAGGCACATATGTCACATCCTCATAGCTGATAACCTCCAATGCTTTGCACGCATGGACCCGGTGAGAACACATCCAATTACACAGATCACTCATGGTCAATGTAACTTCATCCATGTAGAACCCACAGATAATTGCAGCTTGTTTACAATAAATTCTAGTGCACCAAGATGCCTAACCAGCCATGTTCTTGCTTCCTGTACATGTAAAATGTAACTCCAGACTAGGTTCCTTCGCAATTTATTATTATCCTGCAGAAAGACTTGTGTGCCTACATGCAGGGTTAAAAAATGCAGCTAAAGCAAACTGATTTTGTTAAGCAGCAAATATAAACTAATTAAAATTGTTTGTGATCTGTTGAAACTACCATTCTTTCATTTCCCTGACATTTTATATCAAGCTATATCAAAAGAGTTCAAATAATGGCGTAAGACAATGTTTGTGACTCATCTTTGGGATTGTGCCCATTGCAATAGTTTTAAAATGCACTGATTTTGGAAATTAACTATTTTCAACAATTTAAAAAAACTCGTACAATGGACAAAGTCCAAAACATGAGCCAAACACGTTCTGTATTGGTGAGATATTGGGTTCGTGGCAGAGAATCTTCTGGGATGCTACGCTGCATTACAACATTCCAGAAGTCATCTTCACTTTCTGTATTGTTCATTTTTAAGTGGAGTGGATTTACATGAGGTCGGAACGCAAACATTCTTTTAAGAATTAGTGAGTCGAGTTATCTCTCTCAAGACTCCTTCCACAGTAGTGGATCGTCTGAAGCAAGGATTGCCATTAATAAGTGAATTACGCTTCTTCTCATACTTCCTTTTTTCTTCACTACTGCCCTCAGAGCAATAACAGTTCCTTGCCAATGCACCATGAATGGCCAAAAATACATTCTCATTACAAGGTAAACATTTGCGTAATATGAAGTTCCTTAACAAATCTCCTTATTTACGCCCCTGGACAGAGAGAAACACTTAATGGTACCTGCACCTTGTCGTGGTGGTGGGGCTTGACCCCAAGAGCCACTGGTATTGCCTCCCTAGCCAGATTGGCCGAGGGAGAGAGGTACCCAGGTCCTCCAGGTTGGGGGTTGGTCGCAAAGGCTAACAACCTTGCGCCGTAAAAAGGAAGATGTTTCGAGACCTCGATCAAAGCCTTGGACAGACGGACCTAACAGAGGACCGAATGGAAGAGGAGAATTGAGGAGGCCATAGAAGAAGAAGGATGGAGAGAAAACTGCTTATTACTGTACTCTATTTTGTTTCTCATTTTGTCATCCTCACTGACAATATAGCAACAACCCATTTTCTTTTCAGTACTAAAAATTAGGTATACTGTGTCAGTATCAATGGTTCTGTACTGTTTAAATACTAAAACATTTAATGCGCTTTTATTATTCAAACATGAAACAATTACATTGCAAAGGCCCAAAGATATATAGAAAAACCATGAACATGTCACCTACACAAAAAACAAATGACTGAGGATGCAATTTTAGTAACATTAAAATTTCTGATTTGCAAGCAATTTGCAAATGTGAAAAAATGCCCTTGAATACAATCAGATTATTAATCACTTAAAAATAAATGCATGTACTCCGGAAAATCCACCGTTACTTGCACTGCACTGCACTGAAAAAGCTTTTCTTCACATAAATCTCAAAAGTACAATTTCAAACTTGGGTTGCCGTTATATGTACATATCACAATTAACAGAACCGCAACCAAGTGCAGATCTAAGCCCTCATCATTCACAACACTGTCATCGTTATCCTCTGAAAGTTGCTGTTGGGAGTTGAGGAGGACGGCCGATGGATCGTGGCCTGCCTGCTCTTGTACTGCTTCTGACCTATAATTCACAGAAATGAACACTTCAAACAAATTTAAACATGCAGAAATTAAATCACAGGCACATGCAACTACATACATTAAAAATTAAATCCGTGGCATAACAGCTCCAGAGAGCCAAAGCCGACTAGCTTGACTGCCGGCCTCACGTTCACATGCCTAAGCAGAGGTGAACGATCATCCAACCAGACACAGAGTGACGTGTGGTCAGCACGACGAACCCCCAGCCATTGCTAGCTTTCATGACCGGATTACGCTACTTATTGTAGCTCACCAATTTCCTCACAATGCTGGGTTGGCACTGGTCGAAAGCTCACCAGAAAATGTCTTCTCCCCCGAGACTCGAACCAGCGCGCATTCCATATCGCCGGTCCGAAGCATGATGTCTCAGACCGTGCGGCTATGGCGCGGGACTCTATACATACATGGTTCAATAAATTATGTAAAGGGATGTACCTTGTTGTTGCTCAAGATTCTTCTTCTTCATCCTGCTGCTGTTGCTCCTGAGAAACATGGGATCCTTGAGCGCCCCTGTCTTTTACAACTCCCTCAATATGTTTTTTTAGCACACTTAAATCTTCGTCTGGAATCTACAAAAATACAAGTCACAATATTGCACCTACATTAAATAAATATTATATAACGCCTCTGGTACTAGAAGAACAAACAAAGTAAAACTAATTTGTGACAATGGTTGATCATTATAAGAAAATTATGTTCTGCATTTCCACAATCTGAGCTGACGTTCACGTTCTCAGGCGTTTGCTCCACTGCATCTTCTGGGTATTCCCAATGGTCTAATGGTTAGTACTACTCTGTTATTAAAAAAGACCCGTGCACTTTGCAGGCGATCCGACATTCATAAACACACTTTTCACGATGGCAAAACCAGTGTACGCGCCTTCACAGGAGTCGTCTCACATAACACGGTCTCAATTCCTCACCTTAATAAATGACAACTAACCAGAGAAAGCAATATTGCAAAAGAAAAATATGTTGATGTAAGAAGTAATTGTTGTCTGTAGTGTAAAAATTTAAATTACCTCTCCAATCATTTCGTATACGTTATCTTTTTCTATGAAATATACTTGTACTATACAGTCCAGAGCTTCTCTCACAAAACTGCCACGGTATGAAACCTGGCGAGCTATTTCCTTCACGGCAGCACTGAGATCAGGTTTGCAAACTTCCACTCCATTGTTTTCAATAAGTGATCTAAGATGCTCAAGACATTCTGAGGAATGAAAAATTCCAATCACTAGCGTCACCAAGATACAAAATGTTCCATTATAAAATTATAAATCATAGCATAGCTTATTTCACACAAAGCTCAAATCAAATCCTACAGAACAATAAAATGTTACAAATTAGAAGCTACAATTGAAGAATTTACAGCAACTGAAACCCATAATCCTAACAAAACAATTCTAACACGAGAGAAAGAAGTTACAATTCAATTAATCCCTCCTTATTGTGTTAAATCAGATAATGACAGGACTAATTTAACAATAAAGAGACAAAAATATCTTACATAATGTCAGAAAAAAATTGACTTTTCATTTAAAGAACAAAAGAAAATGCTTAAGTGCGTATATTTTAAGTAAATTTCAGAACATTTTCTGTTTTCTAGTTTAGGGTACTTTTACGACTTGGGCACAAATTGACCCTTTACTTAAAATATTACTCACCAGCATTTTTTGACTTCAAACCTTTCATCAGATATTCAAAGACACCTGCAGCTGGATACACTTGTTCGATCTGCCTGAGCAGTGCTTGGACACCATTCCAAACAGCATCCATAGGATATCCAATCTATAAATACCGAAAGAATGCTCCATTTTGGAAGAAGTGTATAAAATAAACATGTAATGGGGAAGTCATATCTGTTCATTTGCATATCCACGGATTTCATTTCTGACAAACTAAAAATGGATTTCAGCAAAATTCAGTGCTGGTGTCGCTACACCAAGAGCCGACAACATTGGTTAATATCGCTCTACTTTACACGAAGTTCAATCAGATTTGTGTGATCTCAAAAACAATTACATACCACAAACACTGATATTATTTCACTAAACTGCAAGCTGAAGCTGTAGGAATGTAAGAATTTTCCAGGAGATAATTTAAACAAATTACTGAATGTCTCACCTTCAGAATCAGATATGGAATAAAGGATGAGGCCTCATACTCTAACATTTTATATTCCTGTGCAATCAACATGGTAAACACAGCCTGCAAATACTCAAGTCCTTTCAATAAAACTGGTGGTTTCTTGTCGAAGAATCGCAGAGTGAACCATTTTAAAATCATATCCAAGTTGTCAATTGTTCCATTTGTGTTATTGGTCAAGTCCTGAAATTCAAATGGAGCAACACCACTGCAATAAACTTTCAGATGCTAAACACTTTTAAAATTAATTTTATGCAGAAAGTTATTTAATCACCCATTTAAAACTGTACACATAAAAATGTGGAATTTTATACTAATTCAGGATGGAACACGGCCAGTAAGTTGTAAAGAAAGACAGGTTTTTCATCAACTGTACATATTTACCTCTGCTCCACAAGACAAATGTAAAGACACTTCATTTTGAACATGAAGTTCATCACCCTGTGATTGCCACAAGCTACACTTGGTGAAATAGTCGAGTGGATGTTTTCTTAGTGAAAAGTACCAAGAATCTAGTTCCTCATGAGTATGGATCCTGTACAGTGTCAAAGCAAGCTTCTTGCATGGCACAACAGCAAATAATAAAATTTCACACTTTAATATAAGATCTTCCATAATATTTACAGACCACACAATTTTACATATCATCCAATATGTGACACAGGTGACCGCAGTCAATAATAAACGAGCAATCTCATATTTTACAGCCAGAACTGGATGATAACACCTTTAAGTTCCTCAGATACTGCAATGTCAAATTTCACACTTATGATGAAGCCTTACTTACCTGTCTTAGTGCGTCAATTGCTCTAAGATGGAATTTAAAGTCTGAATGGAACATGTATGTCAATAGTTTCTTATTTACATTTGAAACCAGCATTTGTTTTTTCAGTGATTTCACAGATTGTTTTCTTGGAGTTGTGACGTTCCACTTTGGAACCTGAAAAAATGTCATATGGCAGAATGTAAATCTATAATTTGTAATCTTTCATTTCATACCAGAAAATTTGTGAACAGCGTTATAAAAATACCTTCTGATTCTGCTCATCCAACATTCGATAGTATTTTTTAAATTTGTTGCTCTCAAGAAGAAGTGATCTATCATCACCAACACCAGCAAACACTGCGATCACAACATTGCGAGAGCCAGTCTGTTAACAAAATATCACATCAATAACAAATCCACAAACAAGGAATTTACTGACTGGTTACATACCAATTAGGTACTAAGATCACTTATTACACTAAAATGTTATCAAATTCCAATGGGATTACAAATTTTAGAGATTGAAGAGAGGTAAAGGTAGCTACCATATGCCCATGCACATCGTGAAGCTATACCATCCTGCAGACAGCCATACATAGTTGGCAATTTAAAGCTAATAGTAAAGCTCTCCCATTATGCGCCATGTAGGCGCTTGGGGGGAGAGGTGGTGTAGCTCCTAATAATTCTGAACCTCCGCACTAGGTGGAGGTGAGTGGTCGTCATACCTCGGCCATGCTTTATCCCCCAGGAAGGACCCCGGTATCCATTGGACAGGAAACTGGGTGGGCCCCAGAGCCAATCTGGATGCAAAGGTTAGAGGAAAAATCCTGTACCCCTGTCGGTTATCGAACCCCGATCATCCAGCCCGTAGTCAGTCACTGTACTGACTGAGCTATCCGAACTCACATTAACAGTGATTTCTGACTGTAAATCAGAGGAAGCAGCTATCAGTCAGAATTAGATAGGAAGGAACTGTAGGATAAAAGCTAAGCTATTTGGTGTTATTGGTAGGATGGTTTTCGCCCACTGTACAACAGGTTAAATAAAGCTTACAGTGAAGCCCATATAGGTAAAACATTTGCCTGATGCATTTCTTATTCAGAATGGCCTGAAACAAGGACTGGCTTTCCCAGCAATATGTTGCAAGTTTGCTTTAGAATATGCCATTAGGAACGTCCAAGAGAACTATTAGGTTCTGAAACTGAACGGGACGTTTTAGCTTTTGGTCTACGCTGATGTTAATGAATTGGGTGAAAACACAAAGGTCAGAATTAAGAAAAGCACAAAAGCTCCATGAGATGTTATAAAGATGTTGGTCTGCAAGAAAACATAACTAAGTATTTGTTCATGTCTCATCACCAGACAGCAGGACAAAATCATGACAGAATGGTAGATAATGAACACTTAAAAAATGTGGAAAAGTTAAAGTCTTTGAAAATAAGTGACAAATAAAAATAATATTCATGAAGAAATTAAGAGAAGATTAAATTCAGGCTTGCCACTGTTCATTTCAGAACCTTAATCTTCCATTTGCTGTCTAAAAACATAAAAGTTGTTACAAATACACTAATTTTAACTGCTGTCTTGTATGGGTGTGCAAATTTGGTTTATTGCATTAAGGGAAGGCTTCAAGTGTTCGTAAACAGGGCACTGAATAGAATATTTGGACACCTTCATTTTTAAGAATGTTTCAGCAGAATAAATTTATGATTTTTCTATAAGTTAAAAGTAATGTATTTCTTGCATACTTATGAGTTCGCTATTTCATCATAATTATTTTGAAGGAAGCTGAAAGCAAGTTGAAATCCCTCATGGTTTGAGTATACAGCAGAAAACACACTTGCTGAATCTTGTCTTCGTATGTTTTCATCATTTGTGATTGACATCATCAGATATCTGTAATATTAAAAAGAATGTTAAGCAAGAGATTTATTTATATTTTGCAATTATTCAGATGTGTTGCCAATCAACTCTGATTACATACATTTTCTATTATGATATATTATGGTATATGGGCATTTAAGGCAGTGGAATTAATTATAATATGAATATTTTGTTACACGAAGCATGTTACATGTATTAGTGTTAATCCATTTCACTGTACTTTCATGTGAAAAACATTGTCACAAACGCCTACTACAGCAGCTGAGTGACATCAGTATGTTGTGTTCTTAAAGCATTGGAAACGCATCACCAGAAGGCATCATTCACAAATTACATGAGAAGATAGACTCTTTGAGAAGGAATGCGAATTATATACTAAACACTGGAACAGTTGTGGGTCTTACAAAAAGCACACCTCTGACGACAATTTTTTAAATAAAAAATGAAATGTTGATGTGCTTGATGGGGGGGGGGGGGGGGGGA